GTGCCGGGGCCAAACGGCAGCCGTGGGGCGCCGGGTGGGGCGAGCTGCTGTGCCCAGCAGTGCTCCTCAGCCTGCAGACCGGGCACAGAGGGGCACCCGGGGATCTGCAGCGCCCGGAGCAGCAGCAGCTGCAGGACGCGCTCCGGGTGAATCTGCCGAATCGCTGTCACAGCCTTTCGGTGGCCCTGGTCACAGCAGCCCCCTTCCCAGATGGGCACCTGCGACCCACTCTCATAGCAGCAGCCTTGCTGCCTGGACTGGAGCCCTTTCTGGGGTCTTGTGGCCCATGAGAGAGACAGGACTTGGGGTGTGCATCAGCCAAGAGGTCCCCAGGGCACCTTGGCGCCCGGCAGCATCGCCCATCAATGGACACCGCTCCTCACCTCCTTGCACCTTCACAAGTCCTAACAGTCTCCTTAAGCCTCAGAGAAGAAAAGAGACAAGGTCAGGCTGGAGATATTTTGCCTCCCAGTCTTCCAAGGACCGCAAGGTCTGTCGGCTTCGCTCCGGCAGGCAGCACCGCACTCCACACTCTGTGCAACCAGAGGCACGGGCTGTTTGCAACGTAAAGTCCAACCTGACCAGGGTCAGATGACCAGACGGATCTGATCCTCTTAAAGTGAAAGACAGGCTTTTTCAATGCGAACAGCGGCTATTCCAATTCACCTACATCACCTATGGATGGACCAGGGAAATCTCCTTCTACGTTAAAAAGAAAAGAAAAAAGAAAATAATAATAAAAAAAAGACTTTCTGATTTCCGCTCTCCACTTTGCAATTCAAAACAAAGCACTAGACGTACCCAACCCTTCCCCCTCCTGCTGTAGGCGTCTGGCAGTCTCCTTGCCCTGGCCGTAGCAGGGGGCTCTCTCCGTGTTTTCCTGCAGGCACGGACACCATCAGTCCTGGAGGCTGCTGGAGCCAGGAGCAGGGCTGGCGGTCACCGATGGAGCAGCCGTTCCCGGCATCCCCGCGTAACGCAGCGGGTGCCGGCACTGCGGCGGCTCCCGCGCTGCAATGCCGGCATCCTGGTGCAGGAGAGGGGGCTCCCGGTGCATATCCCGGCCCCGCGCGGTGCTTACGCCCCTCCGGCTCCGCTGCTCCCGGGGACAGGGCAATCCGTACGTACGGTGATGCAGCAGCCACCTCCGGAGCCGGCGCTGGCGCGGTACCCGCGGCGCGAGGTGTCACCGCATGGACCGGGATGGAGATGGAGGAAGGTTGCCCTGACAACTGACGACAGCCCGCCCTCCGAGCCGGCAGCGCGGCTCCGACCTGCCTTGAGCTGCCTTCCCACCGCAGCACGTGCCTTTCCCATCTGCATCGGAGCAGAGGCGAGGAGGGAAGCAGGGAAAGGGCCAAAAAGGCTGTGTAGATCCCGGAGTATCCCAAGCTTGCAGCCGGGCTGGAGGGGGGTGGTTTTCCCAACGTGAGGTTTTCCCAGCAGGATCTGGCAATAAATCAGCAGCATTCAGGGAAAGGATTTGGTTTCTGTTGTCCGGATGATGCAGCCAGGATGGAGGTAAATTATGGACTAGAGAACAATTAGCAACCAAGTCCTATACCCAGCGGATCCTTTCTGGTCCAGGCTATTGAATTATGGAGCAAAGGAGCTGAGCCATCAGGGTGTCACATTCGTAGGTCACGACATTCAGCAGACACTTCCAGGCTCTTCCAGGAGACCTGCTCTGCACAGCTGGTAGCCATTCCCCAAGCCTACGAGGTCCTAGCATCACTTCACTCTTTTCTTGGCTTTGATGTTTGTCCTTCATGGTCATTCCTTCAAAAAACCTTTCATTCTTTCCATTAGGATTTTCCCAAAGCAACCTGCCTTCCCACTCCCACAACATTCTCTTGGGTAGCAGAAATAGCACAATCGGGCTAAAGCAAGGGATCATGTGTCAGGTGGAGCTGCTTTTGCTACAGAAGAGCATTTTGCTGTGGCTTTGGTGACAGGATTTCTGGATCCACAGCAGTCACCTGGCTATTTTGGGGCCAAAAATGTGGAAATGCAAATGCTCTCCCTGAGCAACAAACTGGGGCAATGTGAGGCGTCCCCAACACTGAGCCATTTATTGCTCTTTTATTTTTATTTACTTATTTAACTATTATTAGAACTATCACTCTACTAGCCCTGGAGTAAGAACTGGCAGAAAACAGAAGCTGACATTTCAGCTGCCCGTTTCAGACACCGCTGTCTTAGGAGAAACCTGCCTTCACTTATGGCCTAAGCTCATATTTAAGCATCATGCAATGAAGAACTGTGATTGGGGTGGCCAAAGTGAGATGCACTCCTTCTGGTGAAGGGTATAACAGGGATGAGGTGGGTACCTTACATCCCAGCAAGATTCACCCAGTGACACTTGCCACCTGCAATTTGAACACTGTTCACTAGTTTTCATTGCAAAATCAAAATGTGAGAAGTGTGCATCTTCACACATAAACAGTAGACCAATCCCAATGCCACTCCACTACGGTAGTTTGATTGCTGCTTCATATCCTATCCTACTTTCTTACATGGTGACTTTCTGTGCCTGTCACCTAGAGATGGACTGGTGGTCTTGGAGTGTCCCCTAGAGCCCCAAGTTTCATGCTGAGGTGTGGGAATTGCACACCAGCATCCTGTTGGACCAGGTGCCCTACAAATGCATTATCTCTGCCCCAAAGTGCCAAGAGTCTTAGGGAAAAGCATAGATTCAAGAAGCTATGAGGGCAACTCTCATCAATACAAAGACTGAAGTCTAGACGCATCTCCTATCCTTCCCTCCATCTTTCCTACCTCTGTGAAATGCTCTACCTCCCCCAAATGCCCTCTCCCAACTCTGGATGTAACCTGTGCCGTGCTAGACATTGGAGAGGCAGAGCCATGTGCCCTAAAAAGAGATGCGACAGGTTTATACCTCCTGCTTTCCTCCCGTGAGGAGAAAATTCATCTCATAGCAACCAGGGGATTGCAGAGAAGTCCCATGAGGGGAAGGGAGAGGAGGAGATCCTCCTTCAAGGCCAAGAAGAGCAACTACAAGCTTGGCCTTTTGGAGCTGTCTGTCCTGAAGCTTGGCAGGAGAGGTCACAGAGAAGGGGACCTCATGGCTCGCACTCTCTGGTAGGGGTGCAAGCTGCTCAGGATGGGCTCTGTGCCGTTGCAAAGTGTCAGCTGAGAGGTGGGTGCACAGGGTGCTTTCTGCATGGGATATTTGGCATCCTCTTCTCCTCCAATACCCTCCCAGCGTGAGACTCGCCTTCCTTCGTGACCTGTAGAGGTGGGAGTCAGGGCCTTCCCCTTCCCCAGTGAAGAAAATGTCCTTATCTTCTGCTGACTCCATCCCAGCATGTGTCCTGATCCACGGATAAAAGGCTGTGTTTGCTCCACTTGGATTTGGGAAGGCCATTCACTGCACAGCAGTTGTTTATCTGCTAAGAAATCAACGCCCGACACTTTGTATATTTTGACTATTTTGACAGCTGGCTAATAAAAATATGCCTTCATCTCCAGCCTCGCCTCGCACAATCATGCTGGCATTTTATCTTCAAACACAAGGTTCTTTTTTTGTTGTTTCGTGAATCTTGCTTTCTGCATTCAGTGTCTGCCTAGTTATTAACTCTTCTGCTCTCTTCAGGAACTCATTAACATCACTTCAGATTAGGTAAAATATTAGTGCTGCAGATCGCCTGCTTCAGTTTTCTTCTACTCTCTGCAAGGTGCACGGGTACAACCAACACAAATGGTTCTGAAAAGAGCTGACAGCCTTGACGGACACGGGACAAAAGACTGACAAAAAGTCCCTCCTCTATTATTTTTATTTCTTGAGGCAGAGAACTGTGGCAAAAGATGTAGGATGAAAGGGAAACCTGACTTGTTGCAGAGCATGGAGGAACTCCATCTCCTCAAGCACCGATTCACTGCCTAAATAGGAACTTATTTTTCTCCCAGTATAACTGGCACAATCATGTAACCTTTTCATTTCATTGCCCTCCTTCTTCTGATGGCCTGATGGGGATGAGCACTGTGAGGAGCTGACTGGAAGCCCTTGAAGCATTTTTCACCTTATACCTCTTCTACGAGTCTTCCATGAGTAACTTGCATTATTTTTTTCTATACTCCAAAAACTTCAGAAATCGTGGCAAACAGATCTGCTTGGAAAGATTCCCCTCTTTTATGCCTTTTGACTGCATGAATTTTGGCCACAAACAGGCTAGTCATGGTGTCTCTATATACTTATATCTACATAGAGATACATTCAAGATGTGCAACTTGTACTCAGTGAAACAAATGTCCCTGTGTCCCCTCTCTGGCTGTTGGAAAGGTTTCTCAAGCTAAGCTAGGCTCCCACTTTGTTTCCCTTTATGGGGGATCCGACCTCCCTCTGCCCTCCAGCAGCTGCAGGAGATGAGTCTTACCAAGCCAAAGTGCTCATATGGACATGAAATATCACAAACCATAATGATAAGCCATAATGACCTTAAATACTATATTGGTGCTAACAGGCCTCAGTGGGAGCAGCGTTAGACCAACATTCAGCCTCCCTCCTTTCTTCCAAAACTCACAGAGCGGAGAGATTTGAGACAAGAGACCCTTGCTGTGTTATTTTAACTGAAACTCCTAATAAGAAAAAAATCAATCCCCGTTCCCTCAAGGAAAGCTCTCCAGATGGTTAATTTTAAAATAAAATGCAGGCCATTTCCCCTGAGATATAGAATCAAGTGGTATTTAATATGTCAAAAAAAAAAAAAGGAAGAAGAAGAAAAAAACAGGTTTCAAAACCCCCAAACCCATAGCCTGCAATAATAAAAATAAAAATTGACTTTACTAGCTGAAATATGAATCCTTCCGTTTTGGGGTT